GAAAAGAGTATATCCATAGCATTTGAATATAACTCTTCATCTCAATTGAAAAGAATGTTGGTAGTTATTTTATTAATAGTATTATTCACTTCTTTGTGTAACAATTTCAGAGATTATCAATTAATAATACAACTACTGAAAAACACTACAACACTCTTAAAGAATACTAACTTATAGGATTGTGTATGACACTATCCATTTTTAATCTTATTAAAATTATATATTTCTTGAACATTTACCACTTTGTTTCATTTTAATGTTTTGATATTATTTCTGACAACTTCCTTTCCAATCTTACAAACAAATCACTCAACCACATGCTAACAACAATATGTCTCATATATTCATTTATTTAAAAAACCTCTTTGTGGTTATTTGTTTGAGTTATAAAACGTAGTATGATATTGCTTAATTTGTTTATTCACAGAATGTGATTATGTTATTAATAAAAGTATTCAAAGTAGTTGTGAACAATCAGTTGTTTGTATGCATGAATAAAGTAATAATGAAGTAGTAAAGTGTTTAATCATAATATTAAAATCTATAAATTGTGATGAAACTAATAATTATTTAGTATAGAATAAACTGAAGTAAGATGAATTTTTATTTTATTCTCACGTTTAACAATACTATCCTATTCACTAATTTTTAATCATTGATTTTCTTTTTCTTCGTTCTTTTTTATCATAACAATCAATTTTATTGTTATCTACTTCATCAACAACCATCTCTTCATAAATTATTAGTCAAAAATACTTTTATTATTCTTTACATATTTATATTCTTATTAGATTGAGTTTATCTGCACAACCATCTGCCTAAACAAGCTTGACTACTATAAGAGTCTGTTATTACCAAACACACAACACTTAGTCATTGTGTTGTTAAAAGACTCATTGAATAGGCATAATGCAACACATGCTAATTTGGAATAAGACTTTTAAATGATGAGATAGTATATACATGGAAGGAGTTATAACCAATAAGAAAAGAATTAGAGAATAAGAAGAAACAAAAAGAATGAAGAAAATGACTAATGGGTAATATAAACATGATAGATAATGAAAAGAAGATTGGATAAATAAGATATAAAAGAGAAGTTAATAATTAAAGAAAATAAGATAAAGAAAAATATTTCTAAAGATTATAAAAATAAAAAGGGTTTTAAGAGAAAGAAAGAGAGAAAGAGAAAAATCAAATGACAGAGCCACAAGGTTTTGATCCCACAAAATTTAAATTAATTACACGAAATGTTCTTACAGAATACAAAGAATTACCAAATGATTTAGCACGTGTTCAACGATCAATGAAAGAAGAAGATCATCCATTTGCACAAGCAAGAGAATATAAACGAGCACTAAATGCAACAAAATTAGATAAAATATTTGCTAAACCATTTATAGGGAATTTAGCAGGACATCCAGATGGAGTAACATGTATAACTCGAACAGGAAATGAAATATCATATATGGCAAGTGGAGGATATGATGGAGAAGTAAGAGTATGGAATGTTGGAACAAAACAATGTTTGTATACTATTCAAGCACATGACACAGTTTGTAAAGGAATTAGTGTTTCTACAACAAAAATACCATATATTGTTACATGTTCAACTGATCATACATGTAAATTATGGCCATTATCAATTTCTACAGAAGAAGATAGTAAACCAGCAAAAGTGAATGCACCATTAATGACATATAATCATGAAATACCATTTTCATGTATTGATACAAGAAGAGGAACAGAAGATTTTTGTACAGGAACAAGTGAAGGACTTGATTTATGGACATTTAGTAGAAATGAGATTGTACAACATTATGATACAGAAACAGATGGAGTTTTAGGATGTAAGATTAGTCCAACAGAAAATAATGTTGTTGGAATAACAGGAGGGAATCGAAGTATTATATTAATTGATCTTCGAGCAAATACACCAATTAAAACAGTTTATGGAGTAAGAAGATATAATGATTTATCATGGAATCCACAACAAGTATATATGTTTACTGCATGTAGTGATGATTGGAATCTTTATACATATGACATAAGAAGACTTAATGAAGCACGTACAATTCATAAAGGACATCTTGGACCAGTACTTACAGTTGATTATTCCCCTACAGGAAGAGAATTTGCTACAGGGTCATATGATAAATGTATTAGAATTTATAATGAATGGTGTGGATATGCAAGAGATTGTTATCACACACAAAGAATGCAAAAAGTGTTTAATGTTTGTTATAGTGGAGATGGTCATTATATATTTAGTGGATCTGATGAAGGAAATATTAGAATATGGAAAGCATTTGCAAGTGAATCAACTAAAATTAAAGATAAAAGA